CTGGCACCATTTAGGCTTATAGGTGTGGGCATAAGAGTCTTACTAGAAGATCTGGGGCTGCATGATAAATTTAACAGCTGGCTTGGTGCCTGTAGCTCAGTGGCTAGGGCACTGGCCACATACATCAGTGGGTTCGACCCCAGCCCAGGCCCGCCAAACAACAATGATGGCTGCAACCAAAAAATAGCTGGGCATTGTGGCGGGTGCCTGTAGTCCCAACAACTTGGGAGGCAGAGGCAAGAGGATTGCTTGAGCCCAGGAGTTGAAGGTGTTGCTGTGAGCTGTGATGCTACAGCACTCTACTCAGGGTAAAAGCTTGAGGCTCTGTCTCACACACACACACACAAAAGTAATCAAAAATAGTTGTCATTTCCCTTTCCTAGGAGCTGAGAGTTGCTCAGCACCTAGCCCACAGAGCCCTCCTTTGGAAGCCCCCAACTCCCTAGCCTCAGCTGCATCTGTGATCAAAGCTAAATCCTACTGAATCTGTGAGAGCCTCATCTAGCTGCCAGTCTCATCAGCAATGTATGTAACAGCTGCAGAATGTTTCCCATGCAGTCTGTGCTAGGGAAACATTTTTCATTTCTAAGTCCTTCATAAATATTCAGGGGACCAAACCCGACCCCTAGGCCCTGGAGAAGGCTCTGAGAGATCTTTCTGTGATTCTTAAGGAAGAATGCACCTTTGTGAACCCCCCAAACAAGCCCGCAGCCCTTTCAGTGGCAGCAGGAGCCCAAGTGGGGAGGAGAGGAAGGGCAGTATCAGAGACAGGCTTGACTGATGTAGGTCTTGGATAGGGGAGCAAGTCCCTGTCCACTCTCAGCATACCACACTTACTGTTTGAACTTGATGAGGGTCTTCTGAGCAGGTGTGCCGATGACATCATGGATTTTTGAGATTTGGTCCAGTTCATTGGCACCAGGGAAGAGGGGTCGCAGGCTGGAAGGGCATGCCAAGGGGCACTGTGGTCAGGACATGGCTATGCGCCGCTCCACTTTACCAGGTGGGCTCATTCACAGGGAAGTGCAAGGAAATGACCCTCACCCAAATAGCAATATTCATGGCCAGGAGACTTCCATTCTCCCTTATGCTTGGTTAGGTCTTCCTGTTTCTACTTTGCTAATAGGTCCTAAATGTGTTTTCTTTTTCTTTTTTTTTTTTTTTTTGAGACAGAGCCTCAAGCTATACCCCTGGGTAGAGTGCCATGACATCACGCTCACAGCAACCTCCAACTCCTGGGCTCAAGCGAGTCTCCTGCCTCAGCCTCCCAAGTAGCTGGGACTA